TTTTTTTTTTTTTTTTTTTTTTTTTTTTGTGTGTGTGTGTGTGTGTGTGTGTGTTTGTTTGTTTGTTTTTGTTTTGGTGTGCGCTGGGGCTGCCCGGAACCCTGCCCAATTCAGGCAGAGCTAACTTTAATCTTGTCTGTCGTTTAAACCACCAGTACCTCCACGTTTTTAGGCCGTTAACGCGGTGGCTGAATCAGTGGGCCGCGAGGGTCCATATGCATTTGCATCAGAGCCTCCCCAGAGGGGGCCGAAGACCCCCTGGGGTACTGGTGGTTTAAGAGAAAGATATGCAAACATTGCAAAGTCTAGGTCATAGAAGTAAAGTCGCATGTGATGCAAATGTCCCCTATTTGTCCTACTCAAAATTACATCGAAGTCCCAAAGGAAATGTAGGAAAATTGCCAGATTCCCGGAATGTCTCCAGTCACCCATTTCGAAGCCAATGGTTGAAACATCGTTGCATGCACTTCGCGGTATTCGTGAAGATTCCAATAGCAAGTGCTGAAAATATCCTGGTAAGGTCCAGCAAAAAATCAGCCGTACCACCAACGTTCACCCATGAACGGTTGAGATCCAGACCTGAGTTTGAACCCAGATGGAAACATGATGAATTAAATCCCTGAATTGCCTACCTGGGACCTGTCAGTCCCACGTTGATAGGCTGTCGCCCTATCAAAAAGGACAAAATAAGCCAGAAAGGCGACGGAAACGCCAGATCAAAAGAGGGGAAAAAAAAAACAAAAGCAGGTAACCCCAGATAGTATTGTGAAGAACTCATGCTTGCCGGTGATAAGCAACCGGACTGACGCCCCCCAGAATAGATGGAGCCTTGTGTGTTTTGCTACCCAAAAAAAAAAAAAAAAAAAGAAGTGAAAGAGGAGTAGATTCATTGAAAGGCGAAACTAAGTAGGTGAGAAACAGAGGGATTAGCAGGAGTTGGCGGTGTCAGATTTTTGGACTGGTCATGGGAATGCAGCAAGGGCGGTACGGCCCGTGAGGCTGCTAGAACGACCCTACCGTCCTCCTGCTGCGTGACTGGGTGCTGTCAGTAGGCTTCCCGGCCAGCAGAAGCCCTCTAGGAAAGTAACGGTTTGGGGGGGGGTCAGAACGTAGCAGCCCCCCCCTTGAGTAGGTGACTCGTACCGCAAGGGTTGGGCTGACTCTTCTTCAACACTGTTCGTTGGCCTTCTTTTTCTTTGTACTCATGCTTGCCGGTGATAAGAAACCGGACTGATGCCCCCCAGAATAGAAGGGGCCGGGGAATTCTTGAAAGAAAAAAATAAAAATAAAAATAAAAAAAATCATAAACTGCAGTGCTGCTGAATTCGTGAAATCAAAATCCAAGTCCAATCCAAAAAATACGCCGCGGCCCGGGGCAGATAACCTTTGTCTCCTGCTGTTCCCATTTGTCATCCTTTGTCCCGCTTCACAGCGTGTCAGTCCCAATTTTCATCTTCACCTTGGTTCTGTTCCATTTCGTAAGCAGAGGACCACTTTCTGCCCCAGAAAGAGCCTTCAATCCAGCGCGAAGTGATCTGCAAATTACGAGCTGGAACAGAACCAAGGTGAGGATGAAAAATGGGACTACCACGCAGTGAAGTGCAGCATGCTGCGACCAGTTCAGCGGTGTCACCGAAGAGCATGGAAAACAGAATTAAGTATGCTGTTTTGTCGGACTTTTGGTGCATTAAAGCAAGGTCCAGAATACCATCATAATGAAACCACCCTGGAAACAAAACTTTCAGTAGGAAGGAAAAATGTCCAAAATGCCGTCATACTCAACCCTGGACACAGAATTCCCCCATGACTTGTTGAGCCATCACCTGCTTCAATCCTTGATGTGAGAGAACATGGAAGTGGCCAAACATGAAGCAAGAAGCAACACAAGGCACACATGCAGGAATGTGCAGGGGCAGGCAGGCAAGCTAGTGAGAGGATTGCATAGCAAGGAGCAGTATGGCAAAAGCAGCAACCAGCCACATGGCCAGGAGGGCACGGGGGAGGCGTGTGGGCAGATAAACAACATGTCAAGCAACAGGAAAAGGTTACAGACAGCAATGAGGTTGTGAGGCGGGCCAACAGAGTGAGAAGCAGGCCAAGCTGCAACGCGGGCACAGAAAAACACACGGATGCACCAAGGATGAGGCCGGACTATCAGCTCCTCAAATGGAAAATTCTGCAGACCGTATGTTCATGCCGCCATCAAGAGTCAGGGAGACACAAGGTGAGTATCTGTCATGGCCAGGGAACACAGGCACAGGCATTCCAAGCATGGGCACCTCCTCTAATAGTGTTGCAGGCACTTGAAACAATCGGCACTGACTATTTGGAACATCTTCAAGGTGCTGCAGTTCGACAGCGAGGAGAGCATAGGAAAAGGTCAGAGTGCACACAAAGTGGACAAACACCTGGAGTGAAAGGAAGAAAAGAAGTCATAGGTAAATAAGGCTTTGTGCGTGTGTCTGTGTGTTGTCATGTTCGCCATATGCAGTTCTACAAAAAAAATCATGACTGTGCAGACTGTTTCATTCCACTTTCACTGGCTCATCAGGAAGTTGAACACCAAGGGTCTGCCCGGGATGCATTTTACTGATGGATACGGACTCACCACGTCACCCGGAGTTAGGGGAAAAGTGGGCGACTTTACTGACACCAGCCCGCCAATCCTAGCAGACTGTCAATCCAAAGATTCCAACCCATGACAAAAAATAGCTGTGTGTGTGTGTGTGTGTGTGTGTGTGTGTGTGTGTGTGTGTGTGTGTGTGCGTGTGTGTGTGTCCTCTCGTTTTGTAAACAGATGAGCAGAGACATGGTGGAGGACATGCTTGTTCAAGGTGACCGGCTAAGTGAACTTATTCAACAGCTCCAGAAGGTGCTGTATGCTCCACAGGTGAGTACTTGTAGTAATTTTAACAATTTCACTATCTTCCTATCACTGGGCATGTTCCTGTTAGACTTGCAAGAATACCAACAAAATCTCCTGAAGGTGGAATGTCTACCATTCATTCATAATTTCCTATGATTGCCTGGCGCATTGGGCAAGCATAGCAAGCATGTCGTGGGGGGCTGGATATCATCACGGGCTCCTGCTAGTGTGTTTTCTTTTTCTGTAATTGAAAAAGAAAAAGAAAAAAAAACTCAAACTGAAACCGGCAGAATCCTACAAGAGTTGTGGTGGCTGAATGGTACACATGTAACTTCTGATACACAGATAAACAGAGTTTAGGAGTTCAAGTCTTCTTCAAGACATCCGCTAAAACCAGGACAACAGTTATGACACAAAGAAGATTCACATGACCCCTGCACAAGGATGACACACAAATCGAGAAATGATCCATATCTTTTCAAAAGAAGAGCTTAAAAAGGAGTGAACGTCCTGCTGGAGCTGGGCTACCAGCCGGGCTGCTCGGGCTGCCTCTGGCTACCTGGGTGGCCCGGACGACCCACGTGAGGCACCACCAAATTCAAAGATGTCGCAGCTCCAGCACAAAGAACATCATAGTCCCTCCGACACTCACGTCCTTTGTTTCGAAATCTTGCCCAATCCACCCCCTTTTCGTCTCTTTCTGTGCTTGGCCGCATACGGCTGCATTCCTCCTCACCACCCCCATCTCCTCCACGGTCTCACTTGCGAACAGACTCTCCAGTTTCCATTGTTCCCATTGTTCCACCTTCGTTGCCAGGGACATGTTCATCATCTTCTATTTGCAACACCACTACTCCTCTTATTGTGTATCGTCGACGACATATGCGGCATTGTCACTTGTCAGGGGATCAGCAGCCTGTTTCTTTGTCTGCCCCAATTCTCTTTGTGCCTGCTCCACAAGTTGCTGCAGTTCCCTTGTTCCAAACGGCAATATCCGCTCCTATGCCTCCTGTAGACAGTCCAGGCAGCCACAGCACCATGCTTTATGCCCTTCAGCGTTAGATATTCCTGACTCGCCTGTACAACAGGATGTGGTCCCTTCCCAGAGTACACTCCCGATTCCAGGGACAGTCTCTACTCAGGATGCGGCCGAAATGTTGAGGGATTGGAACATGATCTGCCTGGATTGCAGTTAACCCCACAAGGCATAGACCACATGGGGGATCTGCAAATGGCTGATCAGCATCTTTTGGATGAACCACAAATTTGTGCCCCACCATATGCAGACCACATGGGTGATCTGCAAATCACTGACCAGCAAACAACCCAATACATTTTGGGTTTGCAACACCATCTGGGTGACCAGCATCCGGCGCACCAGCCTGAGGTCCTCACCAATCTCTGTTGTCTGACTGCAACTAATATCTATCTTCACATTCTCCACCGCCCGTTTTAAACACCATCAGACTTCCTTGCAATCACCCTTCAGCTTGATGCTGATCTCCCCCGCCTACAGCCAGAGGATTTGTAATAATACCAGGGAAAGAGGCTTTACCATTGCTGTCCTACAAGTAGCAATGAGGGACCGCCAATTTGAACTATGCAATGCTCGGGCAGGGGAGTGGTTTAATCCTCCATCCCACATCTTTGCAGACCACATGGGTGATCTGCAAATCACTGACCAGCAAACAACCCAATACATTTTGGGTTTGCAACACCATCTGGGTGATCTGCAAATTGTTGACCAGCATCCGGTGCACCAGCCTGAGATCCTCACCAATCTCTGTGGTCTGACTGCAACTAATATCTATCTTCACATTCTCCATCGCCCGTTTTAAACGCCATCAGACATCCTTGCAATCGCCCTTTAGCTTGATGCTGATCTCCCCCGCCTACAGCCAGAGGATTTGTAATTATACCAGGGAAAGAGGCTTTACCATTGCTGTCCTACAAGTAGCAACGAGGGACCGCCAATTTGAACTACGCAATGCTTGGGCAGGGGAGTGGTTTAATCCTCCATCCCACATCTTTGCCTACATTGTGCACGGACCTGGTCATTATAGTACATACCTCTGACCACTCCGTGCTGCAGTAGGACAATTTACCAACACTCTGCTACCTTCTCCTTTGCACAGCTACAGACACTGTTACACTCGGCTGTACCCGCCATTGTCTCTGTCACAATCACCACAATGACATTGTTTCTGCATCCATGTGATTGTCCCTCCGTTCCTGACTGCAGGCACCCTCCTCATCCGGACACACTATGTCCATTTTG